ACATGATGTGAAACACATGATGATTAGGCGGCGCAGCAGGTGACGAGTGAAGATTAATCGTCAATAAATTATAAAATAAATCTAACCATAAATCTAAAGAAACTAAAGTGGACATAGCAATAAACCAAGAGAGGACAATACTAATCAAAGGAAACTAAATGGAAATGCATGAGGAACAAATTGCAAGAATAAACTAAGAAACTAAAGTAAATACAGAGGAATAAACTGGTATGGCAAGACCTTTAGAGCAATAATTAATACAGAGACTGTATGGCAAGAACAAACAGACACTATTTCCAGATTAAAAAGTAAAATAATATTGTTGAAATGTCATGGGTTTGTTGAGACCACATCTAGTACTGAGAATAAATATATCTTACAGACCATAACAGTAAAGAACTTATCACTTATTTATGTTTTTAATTAGATTTGATATATTTATTTCTTCAATATTATTTTTCATGTCGGTGTTAATGTCATGAGGCTGACGACTCCATGACACTTTCAATTTGGCTCATTAGGATTTAAGAACCAGATTTGATCTTTGTAATTTCTGTCCAGTAAAACTATTAATCTATAATCAATAGACAGATCTATATAAAGATATATTCCATGTTTCTGTCTCATATTTCTATGGCATTAAAAAGATCTGGAACTTTGTTTTTCCACTGAAAGCTCTGGTTTGCACAATAAATGCCATGTGGGTGAAGTTTTATGGATGATACTGTGATATCCCATTCTCCTGAAGGCAGCACAGAGCTGCACCGCCAGAAACAGAAACACTGAAGAGAAGAAGAGCTATGATTAATGTAGTTACAGTTCTATCCATGTTTTAATGCTGCAGAGCTCAGTCGGTTTGCAAATAGTTCAAAGTTTAAACTGGCATGTTGTTCATCTTTTATCTGGTCATTTTGTGGAATATTTAACAACTAGAAAATGACAAAGAACAAGAATATTTTTTCCACTCTGATTGGCTGCTGTTAGGCCTACCAATTTTAACTTGAATGTTCATTGCATTTTTCGTAGACACCTGTGGAAATAATTTCTATTCCCAAGGCTTTTTTGTTCTCTAGGAAATTATTTTTGATGATAAATACAGAAACAAGCATAAAAATCAAAACATCTACAATAGTGATAGTAATATTAATAATAAAATAGTCAGTGCAAAGTAGTCTGCAAATTCTTTGTTGGGGGGTGGTGAGGGACCTGGATAAAGGCTAGGGGGGCGCTGGTCCAAAAATGGTTGAGAAACACTGCTCTAGATTGGGAGCTGAGATCAGGACCGCTCCAACAGACGGCGGAGGGGAAACTTGAATTATATGTTCTACAGAAAAAAGTAAAGACGGTAGATAAAGGTTAGAAAATGTGAATACCATTTTTTTCCTGTTTGCTCTGACCTAATATGGACCCTTTACCACAATAAAGGGTCCAATGGCCTTCCATTGGCTGCTGCACTTCAACAGTGTAGTTATGGATTTCCTCTCTGGTTAAGACTCCTCCATTTCCCTGCACCTTTGTGTTAACAGTGAACACAGTTATTTATACCCATTAAACAGAACCTTTTGGTGCGAATATTACCTTTTCCTCTATAAAAGTGCCAAGACCAGCCTCAAGAACTTCTGCCAAACTGGGCATCCTCGGGTATGACCCCAATCTCAATCTCAGAGTCTGACCGTTTGGGATTAAGATGTCCCTGAAGCGTCCAGCCAGTTTCTCAGTTTCTGGCTTTGATATTGCAGTAGCTATGTAGGCAAAGTGAATGATTCATGTCATCTACATTAACTAAAACAATTTATTGGACAGTAAGGTCTAAGAAGGGGAACATTTGACTCACCAAGACTGTGAAACATTGAAACCATCTCTTGCTACATCTGCCACTCTGCTAACAACGTCATCCCACAATGTATGTAAATAGCTGACCTGACTGAAAATGAATTTGTATTCACAAGCTAACCTATTAAACCTGAAGTACTTAAACATTATCCATACATTTAAATTTCGAGTACCTTAATGTCAGAAGCATTTTGTACCACGTCCTCTGTAAGAGTTTTAGGCGCAGAGCCCTGAAAATTGATCACCTCGGTTTGATTCCAACAGGCGTTATGGATCAACATCACTCCTCCTCTACAGAGAGACTCTGATGAGGATTTAGGCTCAAACATTTCACGCTTGGGATCAAATCTTTGGAAAGACAATCACATACCCACCGACACCAGACACGTGTGGATGCACAACACCCAAGCAGAGAGCTGCAACCACACTGGATCCATGATCCCGAAGTACTTTCTCAGTGAGAGCCGTGCATCGCTCATGATCCGACACCGCGCCTTTTATGAAACCCTGTGGAGAAACTGTGATGGGAAGCTGCTGCTACCGTCAGGCTGGAGCTTCAAAGAATATGTGGCTGCAGATGAATTTTTATGATCAAAGCAATTGTCACTCCAATGGCAAAGATGGAACATACAGCATATACTTGTACTGGTGTGTCCACGGCATAACATTCCTCATCGCTTTCTTTGATCTAAGATTTATTCTCAACCCAGATGTTTCAGTCAACTGCATAAAGCAACCAACAATCTCCATTGTTTACCATGTGGCTGGCCCCCCTCGTCAAACGATAAACTCATTCGGCGATGAGCCATGAGCCAAATCAGATGGATTCCCAAAACTCTTGTAATTGAATGTCTAGTCATTGTTGAGTTTTGTTTCAGCAGATGTATCTGTATCCATGTACCACTGAGCTACCTATAAAAAAAACCTGATTGTACCGTCCTCCACACAGCACACACCCAAAATAGCAGGAAATGAACACAACAGGTGAAATTACTTTGAAAGCAATCAAAGCACTTTTTGAGTGCGTCACATTGGGAGGAGACTGATGGGTGTGCACCATTTTTCATTCAGCTAGAGGGATGATGTGCCACTTTGGTGGAGGAGTTTGCATGCAATTTAAAATGGCACATCAGCCAGAGAAAAACCCATATGCCTCTTTCAAATCCATTATTGACAGATGTCAACTTTGACCAGGGCATTGATTTAATTAGTTTTCAAGACTAATTAAATTCCTCAGTCACTTATTGCCAAATAATAAATTACTCAACGTAGGAGTGGATTTGTGGTTCCTGCATGGTTTTCATGACATTTTGTGCTTTTCAACTCTTAAATTTCCCAAGTTCTCAGTCATTCACGTTCCATTTAAAATATAAATTTGTGAAATTAACAATACATTTATGGCACATATTTCTGCAGGGTACAAACACCCACTCAGTAAACTTGGCTAAATACACCAAGTGACCCGTATACTGTTTTTGTTGCAAAAATTTTGCCAGGCCAAGAAAATAAAATGTCTTTTTGATTTAATAAGGCAAACTTATGTCCCAGAGATCTATAAAACTTTCTTTATTAACCCTACAATAAATGTTCCAAAACAAGCACATAAAGTGTAAATGCATACTTGCACACAATAACCTATCCAAGAAAAAAACAAATATATATAGACTGCAATTCTCCATCCACAAATATGCAGTGGCATGCGTGCACATAACACTGTATATCTCATTTCATGAGGTGAACATATTTATTCCTACTATAACAAATAGTGCTCTATAAGTTTAAAACAACAATCTAGCTGCCTATTACTTGATAGCAAGCATCTTAGTGAGTTAGGATTATGTGTGTTAAAGTAAAAAAAAAAAAACCAAGCTGTGTGCTTATATGGGTATAAAAGTAGAAGCAAATCTTCATCCTTCGTAGTGTGAGCTGATCTTCAGTGGCCGAGGCTGCGATGCCCAGGCTGGTGGAGGTGGAAGGAGTTGTGCTGCGCTGCTTGGTGAACTTGGTTCTGGCGCTGGATGGCGTTGCGGGACACATGGTGGCGGTCTGTCCGGGCCTTAGCCTTCTGAGCGGAGGTTACCTGGCTCAGCTCTGCCACAGCTTTAGGCTGGGAGACGTAGCTAGCCACGGTCCGACTGGGAGGAACGGTGGGCTCTACAAGCGATTGGCTGGACGGAGACACAACGGAAACGGGGAAAAAAAACAGAGAAACGTGAGACTGAGTTTAAAAATTAACGCAAGAATTCATTAATTCAAATTAGAAATGGTGAAAATTGTTGTCCCACCTGCTCTTTTCTGTGCTTGCAGGTGTGTCTCCTTGAGAAGTAGAGTTAGCTTGTTGCACAGCTGCCAGCTGGGCATCCTCCTTCTCACATCCTCCTGCCTCTGAAAACACAAGGAAAGATGTTATGCAACTCTTGTTTACCCTGGTTCCTTCTGCGGGCAAGCTGACATGCAGAACATAAGGGTGTGCTGTGTTAGGTTTAAACAAAAGATGAAAAAAAAAAGACAAGTCAGACAAGCTCACTCTAAACTGAGAGCACTCAAACAAAATGGTAATGCTTTATTATTCAGTCAAAATTCATGTCAAACCTCAGCTATCAGAGCCTTATTACAGAATTTATACCCCCTAACTTTAACACATTTTGTCACAATACAA